CTTTGTATTAAATCTAGTAACACCTATTCATGTAAGATGAGATATTTCTGTTCTTCTGGTCGGTCTCGTAAAAGATACCAGCACACGCGGATTTACTGTAACCCAATTAATTATGATTGTTGTGCATATTATATATGACGTCATATGTGAACGAAGTCTCGTCTGTTAACCTTATAAGGTGTTTCTACCGCCTTCTTAGCATGCCTTCGTGGTGTAGTGGTCAGCACACTCGGCGCTTATTCGAGAGGTCCGTAGTTCGAATCTCGGCGAAGGAATTGCTCATTTTTCATGCCTCCTGCTTCAAAATAACCTAATATCTCTAAAGTGGCGGCCAAACTAAAAAAAAATGGTGGTGGATAATGAATCTTTACCACTAGAATTTGGCGATTGGGTCCAATAATCCCCGATTTCTCTTTAAAAGAGGGAGTATATAAGATGTTTCTCTCGCCTTCTTGGAATGCCTTTGTGGTGTAGTGGTCAGCACACTCGAATCGTTTTGGAGAGGTCCGTGGTTCGAGTCCTGGCGAGGGCATAGCTCATTTTTCATGTCTCGTGCTTCGAAACAACCTAATGTCTTTACAGCCTAACCAAATTTTCTTCGCGTGTCTGGAAATAAGGAGACCCGAAAGTTTAATACTCAAAAGACTATGAAGCAAAGAAAATACACTTCAGCTCCATTTTGTGGCGTCATAGCAATAAAATCATCCTGTTAATCAAAGCACTACATAAATAATTATTATCAATCCTATTTGCGCATGCTTATTTATGCTCGTGGATGAAACTTTCGAAACTTCCTCGGAAACACATTACCGGGTATACTTGAAGTATTTGGCCATGTTTCTGACCTTCTTTGCTTAACAAGTGTTTTGCGATTTCTAAACAGTTTATTACCCTGATTTTCAAAACATTTTTGCAGTAGGAAATTAACGCGGATGCTGAATCACTTGACAAATTTGTCAGCGTTGTATCCGTGATATAATAGCTAAGTCATACATATAATACATTCCATTCGTACAGTGGTCGTTGCTGTTAATTAGCATTGATTAGCCACTGTTCAACGAAACATCCCAAACAAATGAGCTTATATTAAATTCACGCTCGTTATAAAGAACTGTCGTTACAGCATTCTTTTTTTGCAAGTTGCAAGGGATCATTTTAACCAAAGTAAACTGCAAAATGTTTTCGCAAATTAATTCAAAAAAAATTATTTGTCCCTCTTTAGCTCACTGTCCGACTATTCTGAATTTTACCAGGAGACAAAACCCAAAATATAATCAAAGAATTCTGTGTAGAACTTCTTTCAAGTCTTTCCTTACGTTAGAACTTCAGAGTGAATGCGGGAGAAAATGAGGTTTCTTTGCAGGTCTTTCCGGTTTCTGTATGGAGAAGCTAAGAACTAAATTTAATTAAGATCAGCTACTTGTAATGTTTGCTTTTTCTACCTACTTTTTAGAAGTAAAAAACGGCACACAAAAAACTAATTAAGCTATCTAATATTTTTTCCTTCGCCTTTCTTTTTCGTTTCTTAAGAAATGAAAATTCGAATGAATTTATGAATCTTGCAGTGAGTTACAAATTAATTTTCACATAAGAAATGAATTTTTGCTTAAAAAGGTTTTTAAATATGTTCTTTATACGCGTCCAGAGACGTAATTCTATATGCATAGTGTATTTTACAGTCTTAGCTGAAACAGATCAAAAATGATATAAAACGTCTATAATACTGTGACTTCACATACTTCAGAAGAAAATTTTAGAGAAAGTATTCGAAAAATTTCTAAGAACTTGCAATTAATAAATATCGGAGCAAGACAGAATGTAAAATAATTATGAAAGAGGAGAGGCATGTACTTAATGTAATACTGTAGAGACATCGGGTAATTTTTTGGAAACAGGCAAGATGAAAAATATGCAACGCCTTCGCCGGGAGTCGAACCGCGGACCTCTCAATTACGCGCTGAGCGTGCAGACCACTACACCACGAAGGCTTTCTAAGAAGGCGGGAGAAAAAAACCTTATATATTTTCCCTTTTAAAGAGCGACTGGGGTTTTTCGGGGAAGCAATCGCCAAATCCTGGATGACGAGAATCACCATCCAACCCCCTTTTAGTTCGGGTGCCACTGTAAAGACATTAGGTATTTTTCTGAAAGCATGAGAGATGAAAAATATGCAACGCCTTCGCCGGGAATCGAACCGCGGAGCTCTCAAATATGTGCTAAGCGTGCAAACCACTACACCACGAAGGCTCGCTAAGAAGGCGGGAGAAATATCTTAGAATACATGTACATGTTCGTCATAATGCAGTAAGTGTATATATATATAAGTACTGTATTATGGAAAATTACTTTTTTAAATTAAATTAAGAAGTAAAAAAATAAACATTATTTAATAGAAAAGATATATATATATAAAGCACATACAATTTATCAGTAAGAAATTAAGGAATTAAACCTTTAAAAGTATAACATATGGAATTTTTTTCTTTCAGCACATGCTCTTTTATTTATTTATTTTACGTAACTGTCACACTTTTCAAACTTCTATTCTTCTAAAGAGGTTTACTTTGGTGTTACACTTCACCCAAATTTCGATTAATTTTTCATTAATCATTTGAAATTCTAGTATTGTTGATGTTTTTAAGGGAGTTTACGAAGTTACGAAACTAGAAAGAAATACTCAAAGTTATATTATTGATTTCAACGCAGAAAAGAGAGAGCATAGAACTATTATTTTTTTAATGTTTTCAATCTTTTAATAATATTAAGTTTTGTTATCGTTTTTCCAATTTATATCGATACATTTATTTATGCTAAGGAGAATTTTAGTTGTATAAAAGCAGAACGCAATCGAGAGAAAATAATTAATTAATTACGATTATATTAACTTCACATTCTTAAAACCTTTCAAAAGATATATTAATGTACCGACATTGTACATTTAATTAAAAATTTCTCCAAATTTTTTGGAATGTGTGATAGAAGCACTAACCTAAATTTAGCCAAAAATGCACAGTTAGCTAGAGTTTGGATGAAACTCTGTCGGTTTTCAGCGTAACCAGACACAGATTTCTCTTTTCATAAACAAAGTATTTTTGCAAAATTTGGAGGGGAAAAAATACCATTTAACAGGGAAATCGATGAGCAGAAAAAACGAAAACTAAAGAAGTGTTATCTGTAGTAAAAAATAGTAAAAGAAAAATATTGGGATTTTGTAAGCGGTGGGAATAACTGAATTGAAATGAGTATTATTAATTTAAGACAAAAATCTTATGAATGTTAAAGGTTTCAATGAAATTGAACTCACCAATTGAAAGAACACTGTTAATTATTTTCTCAGAACACATACGTAAAAGGTCTTTTTCCTTCTTAGTAATTGGGCACTGTCGCTGCAATTTTTCCAGAGAATAGAGAATCTGTAGCTGGTGTTTTCAAAGTTTGTGGAATAGTCCTTGACCCAGTACACTTAAAAGGAAATTAGCAATCATGGACTTCCCCGTTTACTTGTGCCATATACGGACCCATACGCCATGAGTTAACAACTTCGTTCTCAATAGAAGCCTTCTTACTACATGTACTTAGATTCATAGCTCGAAGAGGGAGATGCGAAATTATCTATTGCAATAAAGGCACAAACTTTACTGGGGATTCAAACTTGCTTCAAAATTTTGATTGGAATCGTATCACTGCTGATACATTTATTCATCAAATAAAGTGGATGATTAACACACCTACTGCCACGTGGTGGGATGGTTGGTGGGAGAAATTGATAGGAATAATTAAACATTTATTGAGAAAGTTATTAGGTCATGTTTGCTTAACGAATGATGCTGTTTATGAAAGCACTGAGTGTTAGTCTCCGTTTTAATCAATAGCATAATTATACGATAAGCAAAAATTTTAATGTAAAATATTACTTAAGAATTACCTCCCTTTGAAGGCTAAAACGCCCGAGATGGCCTTTCATTCAAACGATCACAACCTCCCGGAACGGCCGAGACTGGAATGTTGTTTTTTACCCTCTCCCTGAGATATGTACTAGTAGATGTAGTTTCCCCAAAGGCATTGTATCAGTTTATTGCGGACAACTTGTTGTAAAAGGCTAATGGACGCGTTTTGGAAAGGATGCCGTTTGAAATCTTCTCACCACTTTGTGCATTAATGGAGGGAAGGAGAGAAAGTGGACGGGACGTGTAATGGACGGAGACGGAAGTTTCGGTATTTTAATCATACAGCTTTACAAAAAATTCAGTTTTCTAAGGGTTAATCTAAAAGCCATGCTGTCTTTCTGGTAAATACAAGGAAAACTCCTATAAACCAATAAAGGGCTCATTCTGTAAGTATTTGGCTAATTGCTCAATTAATTAAATCAAAGCGCATAAAGACAATATGCCTAATTAGCGGGATGACATCGTGGACGTTGCTTTAAAAGAAGCAGGCTCATATGTATGTTAGACATCGCGAAATACACAAACCCTCATGTAGCCAATTCCTTCTCTGCGAAGCCAACTGCTAGTCCTCCGTAGTTTTATTTAGTCGGCCACTACAGTGGCCTCTTCTTTAATTAAATCTGTAATACACTAGTTATTAAGTCTTTCTTTGAATAAGTTTGTAAAGAACAATTGCTGGGATTTGTTTAATTTTTAGAAGAAATAATATCTAGTATTAAATAGACTCAATATTAATAGACTCAATATTATTTTGCAAAAAATTTTAAAAACAAATGTAAGAATTTATTCTTCTTGAGAAACAAAAGTAGTCTTAATAGTTGATTAAATAATGTACTAAAATTCATTAATTATAATGATAAATCTTCAAGATACTTAGCATTTATTTTTTGAACTGATAAATTTTGCTATTTCTAATTTTAAATTAAAAAAACATTGGTCAAGTAAAGAATGTTAAATTGAACTAAAAATGCATGAAAACTAAAAATGCAGGATTCATTGCAAATTATATGGAAGTTCGAAAACGGAACAATGTAAAAGAATAAATTATATATGGACATTTTCAAGAATACATTTATTCAAAATATTTATTCTGACACTTAGTATCTGTTCCTTGTTCAAACATGGGGTCTTTGGATACCCGGATGTACAGGCCAGACAATATTTCAGATGAAAGTTCGGTGATCCTCTGAGAAGACTCGAAGCAAGTAGCAGCTCACTGTCCGCTATCTAATCTCTACGAGCGTGTTCACCATTCATCAAATCGCTCTGGCTGGGCAGCAGTCCATTAATCTCTTTCCGGAAGCAAGATGTCAGGCAGCGATGATGTCCGTGATGAATCATGTTAATGATCGCTTCTGACTGTGAAAGGGGATATTTTTGGTATAAGTCTTAAGGAACTAACTGATTGAGAGGCTGGGAATATAGACAGAGATCGTATCAAGACAAACAAAGAAAGTTTATCAATGCAAGGTGTAAATATTAGCAGTAAGTAGGAAAGAAAAATATTGGTATGTTTTAGTCCACATAAAAAGAATATGTAGTAGATGAACATATTCTTAGCTTGCACAGCAACTGCGTTTTTATCGGCAGCTGAAGATTCTAAAGGGCATTCACAAGTTGATTTCGAAGACATTTTTTGATCTGTTTGCAGGTAAAGAAGTCGAAAAAATGTAGACCTGAAATTTTTGTATCATTATTTAAACAAGCACTTTTGTAAAGTATATGAGTGAATATGATGTGAATTCAAAAGTAAATCTATGAGTGATGAGAAATTAATTTCAGATCCTATTTTCCCATTCATGATTAAAATATATGCAAAGAAATTTTCTAACAAAGTCCGTGTTTCTCTAACGTAATCAATTAGGTGTGGAGATCTAAAATTGAAAGTTTCATATGTATTTGAAAATAACAAGTAACTTATTAAAACTAGAAAATTAGCCAAAAATCTCACTTTTGAAGTTGCATAAAAATGACAAAACGTTCCTCAGAAACGTGGTCTAAAAGCTGAGAAAAGTCATTGAATAACACTTTCAATGGGTCCTAATATTTTAACACATATTTATTTAAAAAATGAGCCTGCAAAATGCTGCACGAAAACAATTCTTAGGGAGAATTAACTCTACCCACCATCATCCCATCGGTCTATTTGTTTGTCATGCATTACTGCGCATTAGTTTAAGATTTGTACATATCAACTGATAAGAAATCGGGTATTGCATTAATTTAGAGCAGGGTTTCTTAAACTTTTTTTCTTTCAGTCGCGACCCCTTTTTATCACTGAGATTTTTTTCGCGACTTATAGGATCCCATAATACATTGGTTATCATAAATTAAGGAAAAATCACGAAAATAGCGATAACTCCCTCAAAAATAAGCCAAACCGTGTAAAATATATTGCCAAATAAGAGTAGCTGAGTAAAATTGAAATATGCAAATTAGTGGAGCTGCACTCGAATACGTCATCTGCGAGGAGCTTAAAAGTCCATGTTTGAGAGCAAGCCCACATATTTCACTGTGATAATGACATCAGAAATCTGAGATAACCAATTCGTAACAATGACCTTCAGGCATCATTTGCCTGCAGAACTACGATGGAGAGCTATTAGGAGACTAGAGGCAGGACAAAGTCAAACAGAAGCAGCCAGATGGCTAAATGCGAGTCCTGCTGTGGTACATAGACTTTGGCGGCGATTTCAAGCCACAGATTCGGCATATAGGAGGTTCAACCATGGATGGCCAACTGCTACGACGAGCACCGATGACCGATATTTGACATTATGTGCACGCAGGAATAAAACCGCTACTCTTCTTAGATCCTTCCTTGATGCAGCCACCGGAAGGTTGGTGTCAACGTCAACTGTGCGTAGAAGGCTTCACAAAGGTGGTCTGTATGCGAGACAACCACCATTTGCGTGCCGCTCACGTCACGCCATAGGAGGGACCGTTTGCAGTAAGCATAACAACATGTCCACTGGACGCGTGATCAATGGACGTCTGTTCTCTTTACGGATGAGTCCAGGTTTAGTCTATAAAGCGATAATAGGCGTTATTTGATATGGAGAGTACCTGGAACCCGTTATCATCCGTCAAACATCCGTGAAAGAGATGCATACGGAAGAGGCAGTGTCTGTGTTTGGGGAGGCATTTCTTTGGGTGGACGCACAGACCTCCATGTTTTTCCAAGGGGGACCGTGAATGCTCATGTTTATAGAGATGGCATCCTTGATGCTTATGTGCGCCCATATATGCCGGGGCAATAGGAGATACTTTCCTGTTACAGGACGACAATGCAAGACCACACAGGGCTCGCATCGTATATGATTATCTTCAACAGGAAACAATTATGCGCATGAAGTGACAAGCTCGATCTCCGGACTTTTATCCGATCGATCACATTTGGCATGCTTTAGATAGACGACTAGCTGCTCTCAATCCGACCCCTCAGACCGTTGCCACGCTTGCAACTGCTTCCAAAGGCAGTGGCTCTCGCTTCCTATGGAACTAATAGAGCTTATAATTTAAAACATCGCGCATTGCTGTATGTGTTGTATTGCTTCTAGAGGCGACCATATTCCATATTGAAGGTATTCATATAGCAAACTGATACCTTCGATTTGTTCATTTTATATATATGCTAATTTCTATACTACCATATTTGTCTGATAATTTATTTTTACGTTATTTGATACCTTACTATGTGTTGTATATTGTAAGTAAGTTTCATAAAATTCTACATGTAACTTTTTCAGTAATCGCGATTTTTGTGATTTTTCCTTAATTTATGATAACCAGTGCATTTACAAAAATTTTGTGGGACTCCATAAGTAATGTGCAAATCCGGCACACGCATGAGTGAAACTGTCAATTTTTCACTTGTACTGTAATATACTACTGCAGTATTACATCATGAACTTTAATTTATAATTTTTTTTAATTTAAGGACATTTAACAATGTGAAAAATTTATATAAGTAACAAACGAATTGACTGTGTCACGTGCAAAGCAAGGAATAATGAACGTTTATGTTATAAAAAGAATGCGTCGAAAGATTTTCGTTTTTTAATTTGTATGTATTGTCTTATCTTTATCTGTTTTCAGATACATTGTGGAAAAATATTTGGTAAATGTAAAATTATTATAATAAGAAATATCAAAGCTGCTAAAATTTTTGGCAATCCCCTGCTGCAGGTCCTGCTATCCCCTTTTGGGCGTCGCGACACACAGTTTAATAAACCCTGATTTAGAGAATAAATACTGAATTTAGAAGTTGAGTTATTCTTAGCGTTTTTATTTTTTGCCATTTTATGCCATAAAGATTATATTTGTATTAGTGCTCTGACATTTTTAATATCTAAAATTAATGCAATAATTTCCGCTTTCATTAGATATATAAATATCCGGTCTACATACATAGTGCAATCAGCTTTTATACGTGATGCTGTGATCTAATAACACTTAGTGTCAGAAACACTGAAAAGAGAGATGTAACAATTATAGTTATATTTAACATTAAGTCACTAACTCTCAGAAAAAATTTCATGTTTAAATACTTAATGGTAGGATTAAACTGTGTAGTTTTATTATCGTATATATGCACATTATATCTCAAACGGATGCTTTAATCCAAAAGTTTACTGTCTGCTATTTTATATCAATTATATTAAAAAACAAAATGGAAGCTTGAGAAGTTTTTCTAGAAAGCATATAATTTCCATTCAGATTCAAGATACTTTTAATTTAAAAACTATATCTTACTATATGTCTCTCAAAATTAGTTTCTTAAACGTTATTTATTAGACATTTTGACACATCTGCTGAAACTGCAACCAAAACGTCTTTTAAATTTTAATCTAAAACATTATAAGGGACTACATCAATTAAAATATCGCCAAAGGCATAAAAATGACTTTTTTTCTTTCAGTGCAATTTGAGAAACTTCTTATGGCTAAACTAGAATTTTTAACTACATATGATTTTGTAAAAGTTAAAGCAAATAGGTATCTAAATATTGCTACGAATTTTGTATTTAGATTGTTACTTTCAGTAGAATTATAATTAAAATTGTTGTATTTCCCTGTGCAGTGCAGCGCGAGAAAAATTTTAAGAGAAACTAAGCGGGAAAAGTAAAAATACAGGAGCACGGTGCATTTAACATTTAATAAATAGGTATCTCTTTAAATTGTATTGAAATTGAATAAATCTAATTGACTACTATGTTAGCTGTAACTGTATTTCCATCTTCTTATTGGTTTTCAGAAACCTCGAGAAACAGAAATTACTAGAAATTTCTCGCGACCAAATGAAAGCTATAAAAAGCCAGAGAGAGAACATCTCAGCTCAGTTGTTTAGTTAGCTGCTATTGTTAGCTGTTATTGTTACGAGTTCAACGTGAGACATCTGAATTAGCTTTCTCTTTAGATAACGCTTTGCACTGCATTGTATTTTAACGTTTTTAGTAGTTTGAAGTATAAGTACCAATTATATTGCGTTTGTGAACACTTGTACGAATATCTCTGAGGAGAATTCAAGAGTTCTGATATAATTTTATTATCTTCTTATCAGACTTGTACATTCAATCCATTACAAACCCATGCGTATGCAACAATTTTGTTGCGTGCGTATTGGCTCGTAAGACTTAATATACACAAGTTCTTTTTTTTAATAATTTTTAGTTCAAAAGGGCTTTCTCCTTGAAGGACTATTTTTTTCCGTTTTGCGATTTTCTGTTGAATCACTCTGAATGACCATTTCACTTTTCAAACTGTTGCCATCATACTATCGCCCTGTATCTGAAGATATTAAATAATGACGAATCTGCATAAATGTATGTATGTTTCTTGCATTGTGATAAAACAACGGTACCTAGAGCCATCAAAGTTTGAATGATGTAATCTTACGAATATGGGCATCTGGTTGACTAAATTTGAAATTTGGAATTTGTTATATTATCGGTTTCATAATTTGTAAAACTTTTAACGACTTTTTAATTAACAAACTCAACGATTTATAAGCGAGCAATGGAAACACTCTACAGGGAGAAGAAAAAAAAAAAAAAAAAAACTTTTTTTTTCTCCAGCGCCCGGAACTGTGTATAGGAAATTATAAAGATATGCTCATTTTAAAATTATTTTGCGACATTGCTGTTTGAAAATTGTTTGAACTGAATTTTATGGTTTAAGTTCAAAGAGTACGATAGTAAATAAATAAAGGTAACGCACAAAACGCCTCTTTCGGTGTAATTTAAAATCTGAAATGACATAATATTCAACAGTTGAAAGAAAAAAGTTCAACAGGGCCTTTAGTGTGCAAAAGTCTGCCTTTGTTAGTATGACGAAAACAATCATTATGTCGATAAATCCATTTTAAAATCGGAATGTTCATTTTATGAATGCATTAAAAAAGGAAAAAAGTATGCAAATACTTTTATACATTATTTTTATTGTCAAAAGAAACACTTAGGAGTTCTTGAACTTTCCACAAAAACCGTTGTACAGTTCTTCAAAGGATCACAGAGTATATCAGTAGTTACACTTCAGCCTGTTAAGAAAACTGTAAATAGAACTTAATATAAAGCACATCTAAAGAGCGAAGCTAACCCGGAGAAATTTCAATACTCCGAAAGTACGCTGAACTAACTACTGAGAGTAGATACTCTCTCTGTCTTGTATAGTTTCCGCCTTGCAGCCGAGATATTTCTAGTACATTCTGCTTCTCGAAATTACTGAATTTATTATGAGATCCTAATATGGTTAGAGGTACATAGAACACCAATTACAGTTATTCAATTACAATATCCATTACAGTTATACAGGATACGGGCCCAAATGTCACCAAGTTTGGCGACTTTTGGAAATTTCTCGCCAGATTTGATGAAAACACTAGTTGCTAAAACAATCGCGAGCTTGGAAATGTGTCGTCGATTTATGCGATATCTCTCCAAATTAGCGAGGTAGTTAGCGAGGTTATTCGTTCAATGTTAAATCGACTTGCCCCTGCATTTTTACTTTTCTGGCAGAGAATCGCCTATAACGATTTCTATGTTACGTTATACAAAAAATTAAAAAAAAAAAAAAAAAAAAAAATTCTGAAAGGTTTCAGGTTTTAAATTACGTCTAAAGGGTTTTTTTTTAACGTTTTGTGTGTTACCTTTATTTATTAAATATCATGATCTTTGCACTTAAACGATAAAATTCAGTTCAGTAAAATAAAAATAATTTTAAAATGAGCCTATCTGTAGAATTTCCGATACACAGTTCTGCACTCGCTGGAGATAAAAGGGTTTTTCCCCCGCCGTAGAGTGTTGCCATTGCTCGCTTTTAAATCGTTGAGTATGTTACTCAAAAATTCGTTAAAGGTTTACAAAATATGAAATCGATAATAAAACAAATTCCAAATTTCAAATTTAGTCTTCCATATGCCCATATTCGTAGGAGGATTACGTCATTCAAAATTCGATGGTTCTTCTAGTAACATTTATGCAGATTTTTCATTATTTAATTTCTTCAAATATAATGCAAGACTCTAACATTTGGTGACAACAGTTTGAAAGGTGAAACGGACATTTACAGTGATTCAACACAAAATCGCCAAACGAAAACAATAGTCCTTCAATGACAAAGGCCGTTTGGAGTAACAATGTCAAATACAATTGCACTAAAATCATCTATCTATGTACAAAATTCGTAACAATATATATAATACGTAAAATATGAATTTCTTAGTGTATTCATTTCATACAAAAGAAAACGCTCAAGAAATTATTTGTTACAATTTTTATTCTTGTCTACAAGTTATTTGACTGGCATAAATGTTGCTAAAATGCCTGTTGATGCAATTATTTAATCACCTTTCTCTTAAAAAAGTGTTTTAGTAACTACTGATTATTTAAACAGCAACTGTAATAACTATAATAGTATGATTATATAAATTATGTGCTAACATGGTTATTGTGATTATTAATTTATTTTTGCCATATTGTCTAATATAACATATCATAGCTATTAAGGCGATTCTAACGATAGGTTGCTGCACTTTCGGAGAAATTTTCGATTTCAGCTTCCTGTTTTATTCTAGCAAGTCTATTTTTTATGTAGCTGTGTTGTCGGAACTCATTGAACTTATTTGTAAATTGTGCATGGTGCAATATTGATGAATATTATTAAACTATTGTTTATAACTGTAAATCTTTCAGGACTTTACTTTTCTTGTTGTTGTCTTGTCCATATTACACAGAACAATGGTTGCCAGAGCGTAGTATAAAGAGAGGTTGGATTTATAGACTGTTCTTTTGTAACATATAATTGTTTTGATAAATGATTTTAATGAACAAATGAACAAAGTAAATAGGAATTTTTTTCGGTTTTTCATACTGCTAATCAGTTTGAAAATTTATAAACTACAAAACTTCATAATTACCAAATACATTAGCAATTAGTTTCTTATTAGAGAATTGGAATCCATTTTTGATGAGTCCAAATCACATCATCGATATTGCATTTCAACTATAACGGATATAATAATCATGCTCTGGTAACATCTAAACAGAAATGAACGATAGTTACTAGGTTAATTCCAGTGTCCCGCAATCTGTTGGGCGCATGATATGGCATATCTATTCCTGGCAATGAGTTATGCCAATATACAGTCATCTCCACGTGCGGAAATCGCACAATTTAAATGCTAACAGCTACCACTGGGAGTTAGTGATTACGCAAACAGAGAGAAATTCGATGTCTACTTAGTGAGCAATATCAATTATATCGCTGCTGCCGACAAGGCCAATAGCGCGCATGGGTTGGATTAGATTCCGAGAAACCGGTGTCGCCGTTAACGTGACGGCTGCACCTTCGCCGCCACTGATTGGTAGGGCTGCCATTCCAATGTACAACGCTCGCTCACCATTCAAATTGTACCGGAATAGCACCCAGTAAATGGGTTTTAATGGGATAAGTAAACTGGATTGATCATCAGTGATTGATAAAGTTTGTTTCGAGTTCACTTGCCTTTGATGGTCTGTTAACATCTAATCTGTAGTTGTTTAACGGTCCTTTAGCCTAAAGTTTAGAGAGCAATTTTCGTTGTGTCTAATCAATGGCAGGTGTAACAGCTTGTTTGTGTTACAGATTTTTGTATTCATTTATACTGTATCTAGTAGTTAGTAAAATCCTGAAATGCCAATAAAATGCAGATTTTATTATTTAAAACAAATACTCCAAGCGACCAATAAAAGTACAATGAACAATTTGCACGATTATTTCAATGACAGCAAAAACTAAGAATAGTATATTACATATGTTTAAAGCTTTAGAGTAGTTCGTAATTTTTATTGCAAGATGGTGTTTGCATTTAATGAAGACATGGCTGTTCTATCGGAAATTCTAAAGATATGCTGTTTTTAAATAATTTTAGCCTAAAGGAGCGTTAACGTAAACGTGTATGTGTGTATAAATGAAAAATGTGCCCTTTTGGGCGTAACGTAAAGTCTTTAATTTTTCAGATTTATTATTATTATAATTATTACTATATTGTAAATTCACTTAACTTAATCTCAGTCTGTTGTAATGTATGTGGTTTCTTACCTTGACGGTTTAACCAATTCGGTTCTTTCAACTGTGTATTTTACTAACTTACTTTAACTTGTCGTTTGAAACTGCTTTAGAAACATTTTGTCTTACACAGTTCTATAACGTACTGAGAAGAAAATATGCAATAAAATCCTACTGAAAAGAATATTTAAAAAAAAATATCAGAATCTTTTAACAGTAATTAACTTAAATTAAATCATTTTCCTGCCTGCTTTATTGATAGCCTTTATGAGCTAATTCTTGAAGTCTTTTCAGAGCTAATAAAAATAATAATAATAAAGAAACAAAAAAGAAAGAGAAAGAAAAATTTGGTAATTTTGCTTATTTTTTAAGAAAAGGAACAAAAAAAAAAAAAAAAAAAGAAAAAAAAGAAAAATTCCACACTATTATTTATTTTCGAAAATGAGCATCTCTTTTTAAAGTGGAACATATGACTCTCTCTAGCTTATAACACTAAAAAGCCTGCAAGAAACTAAATTGGCAGTCTTTTAAGAAAAATGTATTTTCGCTCTACAAGAGAATAATTCTTTTCCAAATCTAGCTTTTGTAAAATATTTTTCTATTTTAAATTATATGCCAGCCACACCGAATATTTCAGATAGTGTGTTTCCTAAAAAAAAATTGTTTTTTCAATGCTGACTTAAATGAAATCACGAAATGACAGCTATATTCTGTTTGGATTTTCAGTACAAAATATATGATTTTCTTTCGATTTGATCAAAAAACTTTTATGCATTTTTTCTTTAGATTCACCACGCTCCATTTGCGACCGCCATCAAATCCGAACTTACACGTAAAAGATTACAAAAAAAAACTTATATATATATATATATTCTGGGTAAATCTCAACGTCATTTCACGGAAAACCAATTATCCCTAAATGGAAGGGAAATCTCTCAGTAAGTACTATCCGAGAAGGATTTCAATCCATTTTCTCGGAGATTATTATCCCAAAATAATTACGGGAAATATCCCATTGTAGCTGCTTCTGACGTTTTGAATTTGTTCTCCGTAACACTGGTTTATGTAGTTTACAAATTTTTTTAATACTTTTCATCTTAAAACGTGAAATTCCTTTTAATACCCTTTCCATTTATTCTCAAAGGTTTGGACCGCATTATAATTGTAAAAATACGTACTGGAAATCTTTTGTTCTTCTTTCAATTAAAGGTGTTCAAACTCTTCTGTGTTAATATTCATTATGATCTAAATATTGTCTTAAACTTTTAAAGAATGAGAGAACTAAAGTTTTAAAATGCTTTTCCATACTATGACGGTATTTCAGATTTCTAATAATTTAAAAAGTAAATGAGTTATTGACGTTTCTTTTTTGTGAAAAATGTCTTCATTCATAATGCATTAAGTTAAGACTTCATTCGTAAAAATAAGGTACTTGAAGAAACCAAATTAGTAAGGCTCAAGTGTCTATGCTGCCGTTTGTAATTTCACCAACAAAAGATTGGGTGGAGAAAAACAGATTATGCTTATGTAACATTTCCAGCTGACCTATGGCACATCGCTGGTGTCCCCCATACTTTTACATTTTATATACCATTTCTGAAGGGGAGTTAAAAATTGTAAGAAATTAATTAGCACTTATTAATAAATGTAGAATACTGCTACATTCGATATTTTAAAATCAGTTAAGGTTACCCTATTCCATACTGTTCTTTATGCTCATACAATGTACTTTGGCATCTGCCGCTCAGACAAGATAGAGGTAGTGGTGCTGATTACTGCATTGAAGTGCCCAGGTTCGAACGCCGGGTAAGGCATTGCAATGTAGTTTTCACCCATCCCCTAAGCTGTGCAGTAGCAGGTGCAGTTTCCCCAAATGTATTGTATCAGTTTATTCCAGAGAGCTTGTCCTAAAGAGCTAATGGAAGCTTCTTTGTTAGGAAGTAGAAAGGTTTCAATTTGAAATCTTCACACGTATTTGTGCGTTAATGGACAAGGAGGGAAGGAAATATACGGGATGTGTAATGGACGGAGAAGAGCATTTCTGTATTTTAAGCATACAGGTTAACGACGGTTTTGTGTTTCTAAGGGTTCATCCTACAGGAAACACAGTTTTGACGAAAAATTGGTATGCTACTTTATTGATAGAAATTTTATACATAACAGAATTTTGTTTCCATTAAGTTCTTTATCTATAAAATCAATATCGTTCTATCAATCTAGTTAATAATTTTTGATCTTAGAAAAGTATGACAAAAAATCTGTGAGAAAATTGAAAACAAAGGGAATCTATACAAAAAATCCGAAGAAAGTGCCCGATGATGCAGTGTGTCAGTGACTCCATATAATATAATAAACCAATCTAAAATGATTTATTAATTAGTATACAATGTTTTTGAACTAGATACAAAAATAAGAATTTCGCAACTGCTAATTTTTAAAGGGAATCATTGTATTTTGCTTTTTTTGTATTGAAATAACTATAAATTATGTATCTTTTATTTTAAGAAAAGTTAATAAGATACATAGGCTGCAAGTAATAGAACCATGACTGCTTGAAACAGGCAGTGCAGAGAATCGAGGTTGCGTAGACCCGACACACGATAGGTGACATACGGTATAAAAACGACACCATTGCGAGACCGCAGAGGTGAAAAGAACCGATACTACGTACCGACACTCTATCGCCACGACAAAATAGAATTTTTGATAATGATATAATTATGAGTTAGAAGATTAATGCTCAGATTTGTCTCAACCATACTCTCTACTCCGCACAGCGTCGATATCGACATGGCATTCACAGGGTATAGTTAAGACATCACAATGCAATCGACATTGCATTATGTAGGCAAGGATTATCACTAGCACCTAATTAAGAAGGAAACAATTTTATTTAATTATTACTTCTAGGATACCTGCAAAGAATCGACACCGCCACAATACCATACCGACATAGAATCGAAATTGTTTTCTGAGCTGCCTTGTCGATCCTGTGCCATCATCTCAGATCTACTATACCGTAGTCGAAATAAGAATATGGGGATTTTTTTTCTGGGATCACACGGATCATCCATCGAAACTGCATATCTATTTGAAACAGTAAAATAGAGTTTAGGAGGAATATCTAGCACTATGATAAGAGTAACAAATTTTGTCTTCTTCTTCTGATTCATCTTCACATGTTTTCATGAACTTATGTTTTACAAGAAATGCATTGCATCTTATTTTCGAAGCTGGCTTCATCTCACAAAACACATAATATATTTCCCTATACAATGCTTGTAGCAGAATGAAATTACTTGTTATAGGCTACAGTATTTATAGTAACAATGCGATCTTTTGTTCCGCTTACTAAGCGCTCTGTAATATTCCAGTGAGTTAAAGTGTTCATTTAAATATTTTCACTTGTTAACTTCTGGTTTCTGTACATACATACATATATATATATATATATATATATTTGTAAAGCAGTTTAGTAATATCTAAACATGCATAGATATATAGCCTAGAAAAGAGAGCAAATATTATCGCACTTAACAATTACACATCCGTGACTGTAACAAATATCGCTTCAGTGGGTGTGGATAATCGAACATTTCTCGAATTCTTAGACGCAGAGAAGCTTTATCAATTTCTCCAGAAAAGAAGGGCATATGTGGAAGGAAAAGGAAAACATCTCTAAAAGCTGATAAATTCCTACTCCAAAATGGCATTGTTTATCCAATAAGAACTAGCAAAGACCTCAAGAAGAGATATATTGCATAGTGGTATTGATATCCATCCTTCAAACCTACGGTACAGACTTCTCACTGCTTGTGGGAAGGCAAGAAAGTCTGTTAAAACAACTTTTGACACTTCAAATGAAGCAAAGCAATTATTGTGGGCCCCAAAATACAATTCTTGGACCATAAATGGGTGGAAAAAGTTATTTATTTGTTCATGGTTATACATCTAATATTGTTCGCTGAAGCAAGAGTGAATCAATAAGACCTCAACATATCCAGCAAACCATAAAATACCCTAT